CAAGAAATCTGTGTGGTTCAAGGTTTTTTGTCCATATCTGTGTTTAAAAACTCTTACATAGATTAGTTGTTTAAAAGTTGATCAGATATCAGCTGATATGTACCACTAACCCTATTTGGTAACTAGTACTGTATTGTACATCATATAAATGTGACAAGTTTTCATACAAAAAGATTATTTTTTTCCTTATTATATATAATCCTCATACTTATTTTTGGTAACCCATGTGATTCCATTTACAAAAAAAAATGTATATGTATTTGAAGTTTTTAAGCAGATCACATTGGAAGTTGTTGTTTCCTACTAAAAGATCAATTGATGTAAGATTGAGTGACCTGTATTTAAAGTGTCACATAAAACATCATTACCACTCTGTCTGGTCAACAAAATCAATAGTCTCCCTTTAAATGTACCTCAACATATTGTACATTACCAAGAAGAAGCTGCCAGTGCCTGTCATAAATAGAAATTGATGATTGCAATTAGTTTGAACAATTTTAGAAAATTAGTTTTCCGTTAAATTTTCTGTATTTTCCAAGTTTTAGTGAAGCAAGCTTCCGAAACAATTCCCCTGATTAACGACATTAATTTTGTTTGAAAGACAAAATTGGAAGGTATAGGATGGCATATAGATTCATAGACTGAACTGCAGCCACGGCTAAATAATGTGATAATTAGTACGGCTAAATAATGTGATAATTAGTACGACAAGTTGACGAATTTATACCACATCTCTCAGTAGTTGGTATAGGTATATTGACTTCTGTGTTTGATGCAAGAGAAAATGATTATTTTGTTTGTTTTTGGTAAATAGTCATTGATTTTGTAAGAATGGAATATAATCAGGTAATAATTCACACCACTTGTAGAATCAATGTATTGACTGGATAACATTGAATGCAATCAACATCATAAAGTATTCAATGAAAAAAATCGGACTTATTTAGATTGGAATTTACCTGACTTACACCAAACCATGCTTCATTATCCTAGGTCTGATGTATTACTTCTAATCCAATAATAATCACTGGGAAATGAATAAAGACAAAAATGATTAAAAAAACTGTCAATATAGTGATATTGAAATTACCATGGAATTGACGTGTTTTGTGTAATGGCATAAGTAAATCCCTTGATATCAGTAAATATATTTTGGTCAACTGAAGAGATGGATGATAATGAACTGGTGCTTCTCTATGTCAAGGATATCTGATTTGTCATACAGCGTCCAGTTCTATGACCACTTCTATTCATAAGTGATTTTAGATTCCTGTAGAACTGGTGCGTCCTTATTTCAAAGATGTTAGAGATGTCGCACGGTGTACAGTTCTATGGCCACTTTTATTATTCATAAGTGATTTTAGACTCCTGTAGACATGATGCCATGTGCAATATGATAAAACTATTTTAGGAATGTAATGACAACTTTATTGTGTTAAAATGATTGCTTTGTGTAATATTCAATAGAACAAGAATTACATAAAAGTGGAAAAATAGATTAACCATATAAATTGTCTTGTTTATGGAATAACTTGTTGAAACATGGAATGTTTAGCATATAATCAACAGCGATTTGCATGTGTCATTCAAAATATCAATAAAGAACTGCAACATAAAGGTGAGTCACTGAGACTGCATATATGATGTAATTCTCACAGCATAAAGAAAAGGAAAATATGTTTCATTATGTCAACAGAATTTAGCATACATGTACTGGTACATAAATTCTAGGAACACTGTAAAAGACATTCATTGAAATATATTGGTGCTTTTCAGATAATATTAACCTGTAAGTGAGAAAACATGCATTAAACTATGTGCTTCATTTCCAAAGTGGGTTAATGTTGTAGAATGTGTCCCCGTGCTTGTAGTGTATACTCTTATATTTTACAGTTCTGGGTTTTTTGCTTGTGAAAGAGCTGTCTACTAATAGTTTTAATTTTTACATTTTTACATCCACTTCATTTTAACTTTGGTGGATAGTTGTCTCATTGGCAATCATACCATGGCCACATCTCCTTATTTTTATAAGTATTTCATCTACTGTGATCTATGTAATCCTGTCAACGCTTGGTCTCGAAATCCTGTCAATGGCTAATAAATAGATATTTTTCAAAATTATATACAATCATGAGATGTGAGTATATTTTGTGTCAGTCCATAGTGTTATGTTGATAAACTATAAGATAACCTCAGTAAATAAATATCATTGAAACCAGTCCTGGTAAAATAAAACTCTTAGAAATTGGATTTAAATTAAAAAAATATATACATGTAGGCTTATAATTCAAATTCAAATGTTTATTGTGATCTACTGTAATCTGTGTAATCCTGTCAACTCTGGGTCTCCAAATCCTGCCAATGGCAAGGTGTGCTGGATTTCTTTTCTTTAATTTAAAGTTCTCTCTGGTCCTCCGGCTTTCTCCACTGATATAGATTGGCCACTATTACATGGCAAAGGTCACTGAAAGTGGCATAAATACCAACCAACAAAGAAACAACAAACATTAAACTGTAACTACTGAAATCATCAGTTTATTAACCAGTTTTAAATACTTTGTTTTTCTTATTGAAGTTGATACATTTATTTAGGGGTTGTATACTATGTATATGGACTTTGTTTTCCTTGACTTTGATCATGAACTGTTATTATTTTTATATTTATTTCTAATCCATTTCTTATTCAGATAGCTGGTTATAAATGTTTGAAAAATTTTCATAACCCAATAAGCACAAAGCTCTTCTTTCCTCAGTGCATCCTCCCAAAAAAGAAAGAAAAGGGTTCTTTGAAATTAAATGAGGGATATCAAAAACCATACATTCACTATAACAAGCTGTGCCTTTGTAAAATACAAAAACTATTAAATGTATTTCATAGTAACATCAATGATTGAAACAATTGATAGTAAGAACAAGAATTGCAAGGATTAGTTTTTTTTGTATGGTTTGAGTTAGTTATAGTATTTTATGATTGATTTGATTGGAATTAAATTTGATAGGAAGTGATTATTGATTTATCATGTTTATGTAGCTTGCTATCTTATTGTCAGCTGAGTGTCACAAATTTCTTGGCTGAGCATTGAAATTGTTTAACATTGAATGTGAAGGTTAGAGTAAGGCATGTAAACAGAAAAACATTTTGACAATTGCCATATATGTTAGTTCTATATGGAGCATAGCATATTTAAACATGAAGAACAACTATAAAAGTTACCTTGGTTATAATGTAGTAAGTCATGAGATTTTCAGGTCTTGCGCATCCATTGCTTCCTCTCCATATCATTTCTCTTTCACTTCAAAACTATCAGATAGCTGTTTTATAGCAAAAATATATAGCTGTTTAATACCAAGAATATATAGCTGTTTAATACCAAAAATACATTGCTGTTTAATCACCCATAAGGAACCTGTTATTAGTTCCCTACCGACGAAGTCTTCGAAAGACAACTTTAGGTTTGCACACCGTCTGTTGTCTGTCTGTCTGTCTGTTTGTCATACTTTTTTTTCTTCATTTGTTTCGTCATGCTTTAATATATTGATTTGAAAATTGGTTTATAGTTTTATCATGAAAAGTTACAGATGAAGCTCGAATTTTGTTCCAATCTGATGACTTTGTGCAGAGTTATGGTCCTTGGACTTATAAAATTCACTCAAATAATCAGTTTTCCACACTTTTTTTGTCATGCTTGAAGATATTTATTAAAAATTGGTATTTAGTTTTATCAGGACAAGTTACAGTTCAAGTTTGAATTTTGTTCCGGTCTGAAGATTTTGTGCAGAGTTATGGTCCTTGGACTTAGAAAATTCACTTAATTAATCAGTTTTCAAAAAAAAATTTCATAATGCTTGAAGATATTGACTTGATATTTGTTATATATAGTGTACACCATGACAAGTTATAGATCAAGTTAGAATTTTGTTCCAATACAATGAATTTTTAACCGGTAGTGGACTATGTATTGCCATGCAGTACTCACAGAATGCTTGTTTTTATTAGTGTTGGATGATTTTACCATTATACGTTGTACATGTGGAGCAGGATCTGCTTAAACTTCCAGGGCACTTGAGATCACCACTAGTTTTTGGTGGGGTTTCCTGTTGCTCAGTTTTTAGTTTTCTATGTTGTTTTGTGTACTGTTGTTTGTCTGTTCTTTTTTAGCCATGGCGTTTTAAGTTTATTTTCGACTTATGAATTTGAATGTCCCTTCAGTATCTTTCATTTCTCTTTTATACATTTAGAGTTATATAGTTTGTTCAAACCATGAACTTATGTATCATTAGAAATATCATCCTCAATCCGTAAAAAAAACAGGCAATATATGCCCTCTATTTTAGAATTCATTCATACGTTTTTGTATTATTCAAATTATCAGTCAAAAGGTGTTCTACGAGGATCAACAGTCCTTCACCTTTCATTAATTGTATACCAAAATTAACAAAATATATTTTATATAGTTTGATATTTACACCTATGCATAGCAACTATTTTGTTTTTAATGTGTACTTCTTTCCAGTATGTTCTTTTTGACAGGACCCAAGGAGTTACATCTTACAAAGTCTACTGAAACTATTTGCCCTGTACATACATTATTTCCTGTCACGTTATCTAACATATATCTCAATGTGCCCTGTGGTTGTCTAAATGTTTGTATTGTTTTTTGCCTGCTTCAGTGTGATTGTCAGGCTAAATTATGACAGTAAATGTTTGATTTCTTTGCAAGATTTATTTTATTGATATGACTCCATGGCTTTGTTAACCAATTCACAGTTGTGGTATAATCATCAGTTTGCAAAGAATTCCGCTAAAACCAGTGCTAGGGGCCGTCTTAAAAGTTTTTTGTTCTGTGTTGAAGGCCTCATTGTGACTTTGAAGAACAGCAATAACAGCGCTGTTCCTTTTTCTTTTTGTATTTTTTTGCTGTGCATGTACTGATTTTGTGTCATTGATGAATACCCCATATCCTTTGTTTTTCTATTATAGTAATAATTTTCTATTCTAGGTTATGTAGTGGGAAGTCCTGAAGATGAAATTAAGATTTTAGAGGATATGAGTCCTACATCAAAAGTTCAACACCACAACAAACAGCTACTAACAGAAATGAGTAAGTTTGGAAAACAAGTTTCAATAGAGAAAAAAAGAGATGTGGTATGATTGCCAAAGAGACAACTATCAACCCAGACACAAAAGGAAATAGATGCTAGTTATGATAGGTCACCATACAGCCTTCAACAATGAGCAAAAAACATACCTCATAGTTAACTATTAAAGGCCTAGACAAACAACAACCACTGAATAACAGGCTTCTAACTTGTAACAGGCATATATAGAATGTTTTGGTTTTTAATAGGTGACTTTTAGTCTTTAAAACAAAAACAACCAACTCCATGATGAATTACTTCAGTTTCTAACAGATATGATTAGGATAGGAAAGTATTAAGATAAGTCCTTGTGTACACATGATTTCTATCTTCACAACAGAGATTATATTATTATTATTATCTTATGTTTAGAAATCAAACTTCAGGATAGAAACGAATAGATTTTAGCATGTTTAGGGCTGATCGTATGTTTAAAAGTCAAACTTCAGAATTGAAATTAGTAGGATCTGATTGGATGCTGTCAGAAATCAATTTACAAGATTCTTTTCTATCATACTGTTGACTTATTCTTAGATAAATGTATCCAGGGATATAGGGTAGATGTTTATAAAACATAAATCCAGGGAAAACAGTGAGATGTTTAACAGACATGTACCCAAGAATATAGGGTAGATGTTTATAAAACATAAATCTAGGGAAAACAGTGAGATGTTTAACAGACATGTATCCAAGGTTTTTCTCATTGTTAAAGGCGTTACGGTGACCTATATGTATATGTCATTTGGTCTCTGGTGGAGAGTTGTCTCATTAGCAATCATACCTCATCTTCTTATTTTGATTTTAATTTGTATTCCACATGGTGATAAGAATTTCATACATTTGACACTAGGACAGGGTCCGATTCTGATGGTTGTCCGATTGCCCAGGGCAAGTTAATGCCGTATTCGGACATGTAAAAACATCATCTTGGTTGTCCGATCGGGCAAGTGAAAAAAAAGTGTTATATGATTAAAATTTCACAAAATCAATAGTGTCTGTTGTTTTGTCCATAGATTACTCAGTGATAACACCGCACGGTCGAGTAAAGTGGTCTTAACCCCCCCTTCAATGCATATATTTCGTCATTTGTTCGCACTGAACTCCCCATTTTACAAAAAAATAGATCACGTTAAAAAATATTGGCCAATCAGGCGACCGCGGCGTTGCTTCATCATTATCGTCATCAATTGGGACACCACTCAGGCGTTTCCGACGCACGTGTTATTCCCACCAACCAATGGAAAGGGGAGGTCTATTTTCGTTGTTCTAACTTTAGAATTTGACATCAGATGTGTATTTCCCTAAGATGGAAAAACGTAAAAGCTTGAAATGACTCAGAAAACTGAATGATAGTTTGATCTAAAAATTAACTCAGTGACTAATTGTATCAATTATAAGAATACTCCAAATGTAATTATATATTTGAAAATGTATGGTTCATTAAATTGTTTCAAAGTTTAAATTATATTCTCGATTCAACTATAATTCAAAAATCAGTTCATGACACATCATGCATGGCATTGACAAAGTCTCTAAGTCTTCTTGAGTTGAAATTCTGGTAAGTAGACAGCTAGGATTTTGGAAATATTATTGACTTCTCAAATCATCAATATTCATACTCCATAATCAATTTACATCCCATATACATGAAAACTATATTTTATCTGCATGTACTACATTACAACCACAAAAAATAGCATGTAAAAGTTTGGGCATGTACATTTCACTTTCGGACAAGTAAAAGTAATAGGGCACTTGCCCAACTGGACAAGTTGGTATAAAAGTTAATGTCGAGCCCTGTAGGAGCTTTCATTAAAAGAATTTAAAAGTATTACATAAATTTCTCTTAATCATTGATCCTTGTTAGTATTTATTTGTTTTGTTTTGAGTAATACCACCTATTGAAACAAATATTTTCACTGTTTTACATGCACTTCACGAGTAATAACCATGGTTGAAAAGAATGTAAATGTTTGTCTGCCAGGACACTGGATTACTGATCGAGTTTGTCAGATATATTACATGTTGTTGGGATCTAATCCAGGACACATATGTTCAGAACTTGGCAATTTCTGGTACCCTTATGCAGCATCAACTGGGTCTGCTGTTTCTCCTAGAGCATCTTTCTTCACCTACAGTTTTTGGTTGGGTTTGTGTTGCTCAATCTTAAGTTTCCTATGTTTTCATAGGACAACATACAAACAAAATTTATAAAAAGGGAATATTTCTAGTTCACTCTCCAAAGAGACTATTGCATATTGTTGATTACCTGATAGACAGGAATATTTCTAGTTCACTCTCCAAAGAGACTATTGCATGCTGTTGATTACCTGACAGACAGGAATATTTCTAGTTCACTCTCCAAAGAGACTATTGCATGTTGTTGATAACCTGACAGACAGGAATATTTCTAGTTCACTCTCCAAAGAGACTATTGCATATTGTTGATTACCTGATAGACAGGAATATTTCTAGTTGCATATTGTTGATTACCTGACAGACAGGAATATTTCTAGTTCACTCTCCAAAGAGACTATTACATGTTGTTGATTACCTGACAGACAGGAATATTTCTAGTTCACTCTCCAAAGAGACTATTACATGTTGTTGATTACCTGACAGACAGGAATATTTCTAGTTCACTCTCCAAAGAGACTATTGCATGTTGTTGATTACCTGACAGACAGGAATATTTCTAGTTCACTCTCCAAAGAGACTATTGCATGTTGTTGATTACCTGACAGACAGGAATATTTCTAGTTCACTCTCCAAAGAGACTATTACATGTTGTTGATTTCCTGATAGACAGGAATATTTCTAGTTCACTCTCCAAAGAGACTATTGCATGTTGTTGATTACCTGACAGACAGGAATATTTCTAGTTCACTCTCCAAAGAGACTATTGCATGTTGTTGATTACCTGACAGACAGGAATATTTCTAGTTCACTCTCCAAAGAGACTATTGCATGTTGTTGATTACCTGATAGACAGGAATATTTCTAGTTCACTCTCCAAAGAGACTATTGCATGTTGTTGATTACCTGACAGACAGGAATATTTCTAGTTCACTCTCCAAAGAGACTATTGCATGTTGTTGATTACCTGACAGACAGGAATATTTCTAGTTCACTCTCCAAAGAGACTATTGCATGTTGTTGATTACCTGATAGACAGGAATATTTCTAGTTCACTCTCCAAAGAGACTATTGCATGTTGTTGATTACCTGATAGACAGGAATATTTCTAGTTCACTCTCCAAAGAGACTATTGCATGTTGTTGATTACCTGATAGACAGGAATATTTCTAGTTCACTCTCCAAAGAGACTATTGCATGTTGTTGATTACCTGATAGACAGGAATATTTCTAGTTCACTCTCCAAAGAGACTATTGCATGTTGTTGATTACCTGACAGACAGGAATATTTCTAGTTCACTCTCCAAAGAGACTATTGCATATTGTTGATTACCTGATAGACAGGAATATTTCTAGTTGCATATTGTTGATTACCTGACAGACAGGAATATTTCTAGTTCACTCTCCAAAGAGACTATTGCATATTGTTGATTACCTGATAGACAGGAATATTTCTAGTTGCATATTGTTGATAACCTGACAGACAGGAATATTTCTAGTTCACTCTCCAAAGAGACTATTGCATGTTGTTGATTACCTGATAGACAGGAATATTTCTAGTTCACTCTCCAAAGAGACTATTGCATATTGTTGATTACCTGATAGACAGGAATATTTCTCTAGTTGCATATTGTTGATTACCTGACAGACAGGAATATTTCTAGTTCACTCTCCAAAGAGACTATTACATGTTGTTGATTACCTGACAGACAGGAATATTTCTAGTTCACTCTCCAAAGAGACTATTGCATATTGTTGATTACCTGATAGACAGGAATATTTCTAGTTGCATATTGTTGATTTCCTGACAGACAGGAATGTTTCTAGTTCACTCTCCAAAGAGACTATTGCATGTTGTTGATTACCTGACAGACAGGAATATTTCTAGTTCACTCTCCAAAGAGACTATTGCATGTTGTTGATTACCTGACAGACAGGAATATTTCTAGTTCACTCTCCAAAGAGACTATTGCATGTTGTTGATTACCTGACAGACAGGAATATTTCTAGTTCACTCTCCAAAGAGACTATTGCATGTTGTTGATTACCCGACGGACAGTAATATTTCTAGTTCACTCTCCAAAGAGACTATTGCATGTTGTTGATTACCTGATAGACAGGAATAATTCTAGTTCACTCTGCAAAGAGACTATTGTATGTTGTTGATTACCTGACAGACAGGAATATTTCTAGTTCACTCTCCAAAGAGACTATTGCATGTTGTTGATTACCTGACAGACGGGAATATTTCTAGTTCACTCTCAAAAGAGACTATTGCATGTTGTTGATTACCTGACTACATTAAAGTTAATTAGTCTATAAGGTTATCAAAGTCATCTTATTATTGATAGATATCTCATTCAGACTGGAATCAACCTTTATACCTCCAGCTAAGAATCTTATTGAACTTCCATTAAATACAGAAAATAAGATTTATAAGGTTAAACTTGTACATTATTTATTAGCCTGTGAAACAAAGAAATGGTAATTAACAAATAAACATGACTGTTAATCTTGGTGGTAGAATTGAAAATTCAAATAAAATCAATTCTTGGAAGATTTTATGTTTAATTTAGATGAAATCCTAATGCTTCAATTTTAAAGCATGTAGGAAGAAAGGTTTTGAATTTGAGATATCTAGTAAAGATTAAATATAGTTTGGGATATAACCATTTAATTCTTTTTCAAATCATTCACAAATTATTTTTATATTAATCAGACAAAGTATCTGTGTGATGTATATATTTGAATTCCTATTTTTTGTGAAACTAAATCCAAATTAGCTATGGTTTGACACTTAGATTGAAAGAATGAGAAAGTCTGTGTACTCAGATAATATATTTTGATGTTGATTTTGTGATTGATTGATTACAACTTGCTTAATGTCCAGTGGCAATTATTTGATGCAATTTTAGGATGAGAGACTAGTACCAATACAATAGGTAGGTTCTGTAAAGTGGGAGACAATGATGAGTGGCAAGACATTTGGATTGCCACTGGAAAACTATAGTATGTTGGATAGGGGCAGAAATTTTGCCTTGCAACAGGCCATGTGTGAACCCCTCATATAGTTGTTGCAAGTTGCATGGTCGTCAAGTATACACAGATTTTTAGCCTAGGGTGGATTGTAGTACAATTGATGAAGTGATGCTTTTATACATATTTCAAATATTTACTTGCAAATCATAAAAAAGGTGGATTTATAAATATGGTTTATTATTTTGAAAATTAAATCCAAGCATATATATACAGGCATATAATACAAAAGTTCACAACATGGTAAGATGTTAAAAATTAGGTTTGAAAAATACATACTGTGAATTCAGAAATTGATGCAAGGTTTTTATTAATGCGTATACTACGACTTCTTGAGTATCGCAATAATAAGAACTCGCATTCTGATATAAGATACATATATATGTATGAAACTTTTCCAAAAATTGCAATAATTAAACTCACATTTTTGTTAATTCTCCAAAAATAGCAATAATAAATGCACACAATAATTTCTAAATTTACAGTAAGTAGACTCTCTTCTTCATCAAATATCTTTGTAGCCTTCAACTGTATCGTCTCCTATTGTTCCCTCAACACTGAAACATAGGGCTCTTTTATACCCATTGTCAACAACTATGCAACAACTATTTTTATTTGACCTCAATTGCCACCAAAAATGCACCAATAATGCCCAACCTCTTAATATAAAGAACATAAATCTAAACTTGATATACTAAAACTAACACATGCTATAAGTCTATAATCTCTATGAAATCAGATACATTATACAATACTTGATGAACTATGACAAAACAAAAACAAGTAAATAAATGACTACAAACAGATAAAAGTTTACATATCATTGGAAACAACAAACTAAAATAATTATCTATATTACACTGATGCACAAGGGTTATTTTGCCACACATAGAACGGCCTGTGAATTCAGATTTTTTATTTTAATGTTCATTTGAGGACAAAGAATTTTGATGTAATACATATTGCCACTTATTATAGAACGCCTGTAAAATCATATTATTTATTTTTATTTTATTTCAGGGACACAGAATTTCGATGTTATACGGTTTGCCACTTATAGAACAGCCTGTAAAATCATACTATTTATTTTGATGTTAATTTCAGGGACACAGAATTTCGATGTTATACGTTTTGCCACTTATAGAACAGCCTGTAAAATCATACTATTTATTTTGATGTTAATTTCAGGGACACCGAATTTCGATGTTATACGTTTTGCCACTTATAGAACAGCCTGTAAAATCATACTATTTATTTTAATGTTAATTTCAGGGACACAGAATTTCGATGTTATACGGTTTGCCACTTATAGAACGGCCTGTAAACTCAGATTTATACAGAAGAAGACTAGTCGTAAGTTTTTATAAATACTAAAGTCAACGTTCAATACAAAAAACAAAAACTACTAACCATAATTCAGTAAAACTAAAATAATATACAAAATTTATCACAAAACACATGACATATAAAAATAAGGAGATATGGTATAATTGCAAATGGGATAACTGTCCACCAGAGTTCAAATGATGTGGATGTTAGCAATTTTAGGTCACCATGCAGCCTTCAACAATGAACAAAAACCATATCATATAGTCAGTTATAAAAGGCTTCGCCATGACAAAACTTTAAAAAATTCAAATGAGACGACTAACAGCCTTATCTTTAACAATACAGTTTAAGAAAAACAAATAGACAGACATGAACAAACTGCAACCACTGAATTACAGGCTCCTTATTTGGGACAGTGGTGTAACAGCATTACATAATAACAAACTGTAAAAAATCAGTTGCAAATGGTTAAACTCAATATTTCAGTAAGAAGCACAAAAAACAACTAAGATAAACACAATAGATACAAAGCACCTATATAAGAGTACTTGCAGTTACCGAAAACTAGTTCAAAGCTTATTACAACTATTAAATAAATCATGTTCTCCCAGACTTTATACTCCATATTTGACTTCAACAAATGATTTGGAATAGCATGTTATTCCTGCATATACTGGATTGATATATACATAATTCTATACTAAACACAAAACACGAAATGAATACAGATTTCAATACAAAACACAAAATAAATACATAGTCCAATACAAAACACAAAATGAATACATAGTCCAATACTAAACACAACATTAATGCAGAATTCACAATATTAAACACAACGTTTAACATTAATGCAGAATTCACAATACTAAACACACAATAACTGCAGAAAGCATACAAAATCAGTTGTTTTTGTACTGGATTGATTGATTGATTGATTGATTTGTTGGTTGTTGCTTGCTTTACTTTCAGTAAATAGTTCATGCATATTCAGTATGAGAATACATTAACAATTGATACAGTAGGTAGTTTCTGGAAGGTAGATAACTGGAGTAAAGGACAGGAAACTAAGATTGCCACTTGAAAAGGGGTGTGCACAATTAATAGGACAAATTGAGTTCAATTTCAATAATGTTTGTAAGTTTGAAAAAATCATTTCTTCATTGTTTAAAACAAGAATGACATCCAAGTAGGTAATGATATTCATCTTCAACTTCATCACACGTAATGCATAGCCAGTGTTCCATAGGCATTTAGTTTGTATGGTTAAATATATGAGATTTCGTGAGAATTTTTTTATTTTGAATGAGGCTATTATAATAAATAGAAAATAAGGACATGTGGTATGATTGCCAATGAGACAAATATACACCACAGTCCAAATGATGTAGATGTTACCAACTATAGGTCACTGTAGGGCCTTCAACAATGAGCAAAACCCATACAACACAGGAAGCTATGATTCAAATTTCAGGAGGCTATACCAAAAAGGAACAGTTTAGAATTATTGTCCAAATTGGATAATATATTTAATATTTTGTGTTTAAAAATATTTTCCTTAAACTATTTTTCTGATCAATAAAATACACAGAATACATACATAAATCAATACAATACACATGATACACAATTAGAAAAAAAACAATGCAAAATTCTATTGAAAACATTCTGTCACAGACAGAATTCAACACAAAAAATAAAACACATGCACAATTTATAAAATACAGATAATCAAAAAATTCAATACAAAATACAGAACACACTTCTGGTCTCATGATATCTGTCTGACAAGGTGTTATCATCAACATCATCATTGCAAATTTTGGTAAACCTAAGTGGAAGGTGGACAATATTGGTTCTCTTTGTACTGCTTGTGAACTACAATATTTCTCCACTTTGTATCTATGATGTTCATGATAAGACTTGTCAGTCAGTCATTGTCATATGACCTTGACTTCATTTTTATTTAAATGATTCATTATATAATTTACACCAAAAAATAATATGAATATGGAACATTTTTATACGACCGCAAAAAGAATTTTGTGGTCGTATATTGGTATGACGTCGTCGTCGTCGTCGTCGTCCGAAGACACATTGGTTTTTTCGCACTCTAACTTTAGTTTAAGTGAATGGATCTCTATGAAATTTAACCATAAGGTTTAATACCACAAAAGGAAGGTTGGGATTGATTTTGGGGGTTATGGTACCAACAGTTAAGGAATTAGGGGCCAAAAATAAGCATTTTTGTAACTTCCAGACATAACTTGTGTGTTAGTGTATGGATCTCTCTGACATTGTACCACAAGGTTCCATATAACAAAGGAAATGCTGGGATTGATTTTGGGGGTAATTGCCTCAAAATTTTAAGAATTAGGGGCCAAAAAAGGGACCAAAAATAAGCATTTTTAGCTCACCTGACCTGAAAGGTCAAGTGAGCTTTTCTCATCACTTTGCGTCCGTCGTCCGTCGTCCTGCGTCCGTCGTCCGTCGTCCGTCGTCCGTCGTCCGTCGTCCGTAAACTTTTACAAAAATCTTCTCCTCTGAAACTACTGGGCCAAATTTAACCAAACTTGGCCACAATCATCATTGGGGTATCTAGTTTTAAAAATGTGTGGCGTGACCCTGTCAACCAACCAAGATGGCCGCCACGGCTAAAAATAGAACATAGGGGTAAAATGCAGTTTTTAGCTTATAACTCAAAAACCAAAGCATTAAGAGCAAATCTGACATGGGGTAAAATTGTTCATCAGGTCAAGATCTATCTGCCCTGAAATTTTCAGATGAATCGGACAACCCATTATTGGGTTGCTGCCCCTGAATTGGTAATTTTAAGGAAATTTTGCTGTTTTTGGTTATTATCTTGAATATTATTATAGATAGAGATAAACTGTAAACAGCAATAATGTTCAGCAAAGTAAGATTTACAAATAAGTCAATATAACCGAAATGGTCAGTTGACCCCTTTAGGAGAAATTGCCCTTTATAGTCAATTTTTAACCATTTTTCGTAAATCTTAGTAATCTTTTACAAAAATCTTCTCCTCTGAAACAACTGGGCCAAATTAAACCAAACTTGGCCACAATCATCATTGGGGTATCTAGTTTAAAAAATGTGTGGCGTGACCCGGCCAACCAACCAAGATGGCCGCCACAGCTAAAAATAAAACATAGGGGTAAAATGCAGTTTTTGGCTTATAACTCAAAAACCAAAGCATTTAGAGCAAATCTGACATGAAGTAAAATTGTTTATCAGGTCAAGATCTATCTGCCCTAAAATTTTCAGATGAATCGAACAACCTGTTGTTGGGTTGCTGCCCCTGAATTGGTAATTTTAAGGAAATTTTGCTGTTTTTGGTTATTATCTTGAATATTATTATAGATAGAGATAAACTGTAAACAGCAATAATGTTCAGCAAAGTAAGATTAACAAATAAGTCAACATGACTGAAATGGTCAGTTGACCCCTTTAGGAGTTATTGCCCTTTATAGTCAATTTTTAACAATTTTTCGTAAATCTTAGTAATCTTTTACAAAAATCTTCTCCTCTGAAACTACGTGGCCAAATTAAACCAAACTTGGCAACAATCATCATTTGGTTATCTTGTTTTAAAAATGTGTGGCGTGACCTGGTCAACCAACCAAGATGGCCGCCACGGCTAAAAATAGAACATAGGGGTAAAATTCAGTTTTTGGCTTTTAACTCAAAAACCAAAGCATTTAAAGCAAATCTGACATGGGGTAAAATTGTTCATCAGGTCAAGATCTATCTGCCCTGAAATTTTCAGATGAATCGGACAACCCGTTATTGGGTTGCTGCCCCTGAATTGGTAATTTTAAGGAAATTTTGCTGTTTTTGGTTATTATCTTGAATATTATTATAGATAGAGATAAACTGTAAACAGCAATAATGTTCAGCAAAGTAAGATTTACAAATAAGTCAATATAACCGAAATGGTCAGTTGACCCCTTTAGGAGAAATTGCCCTTTATAGTCAATTTTTAACCATTTTTCGTAAATCTTAGTAATCTTTTACAAAAATCTTCTCCTCTGAAACAACTGGGCCAAATTAAACCAAACTTGGCCACAATCATCATTGGGGTATCTAGTTTAAAAAATGTGTGGCGTGACCCGGCCAACCAACCAAGATGGCCGCCACAGCTAAAAATAAAACATAGGGGTAAAATGCAGTTTTTGGCTTATAACTCAAAAACCAAAGCATTTAGAGCAAATCTGACATGAAGTAAAATTGTTTATCAGGTCAAGATCTATCTGCCCGTAAATTTTCAGATGAATCGAACAACCTGTTGTTGGGTTGCTGCCCCTGAATTGGTAATTTTAAGGAAATTTTGCTGTTTTTGGTTATTATCTTGAATATTATTATAGATAGAGATAAACTGTAAACAGCAATAATGTTCAGCAAAGTAAGATTAACAAATAAGTCAACATGACTGAAATGGTCAGTTGACCCCTTTAGGAGTTATTGCCCTTTATAGTCAATTTTTAACAATTTTTCGTAAATCTTAGTAATCTTTTACAAAAATCTTCTCCTCTGAAACTACGTGGCCAAATTAAACCAAACTTGGCAACAATCATCATTTGGTTATCTTGTTTTAAAAATGTGTGGCGTGACCTGGTCAACCAACCAAGATGGCCGCCACGGCTAAAAATAGAACATAGGGGTAAAATTCAGTTTTTGGCTTTTAACTCAAAAACCAAAGCATTTAAAGCAAATCTGACATGGGGTAAAATTGTTCATCAGGTCAAGATCTATCTGCCCTGAAATTTTCAGATGAATCGGACAACCCGTTATTGGGTTGCTGCCCCTGAATTGGTAATTTTAAGGAAATTTTGCTGTTTTTGGTTATTATCTTGAATATTATTATAGATAGAGATAAACTGTAAACAGCAATAATGTTCAGCAAAGTAAGATTTACAAATAAGTCAATATAACCGAAATGGTCAGTTGACCCCTTTAGGAGTAATTGCCCTTTATAGTCAATTTTTAACCATTTTTCGTAAATCTTAGTAATCTTTTAAAAAAATCTTCTCCTCTGAAACAACTGGGCCAAATTAAACCAAACTTGGCCACAATCATCATTTGATTATTTAGTTTTAAAAATGTGTGGCGTGACCTGGTCAACCAACCAAGATGGCCGCCACGGCTAAAAATAGAACATAGGGGTAAAATTCAGTTTTTGGCTTTTAACTCAAAAACCAAAGCATTTAAAGCAAATCTGACATGAAGTAAAATTGTTTATCAGGTCAAGATCTATCTGCCCTGAAATTTTCACATGAATCGGACAACCCGTTGTTGGGTTGCTGCCCCTGAATTGGTAATTTTAAGGTAATTTTGCTGTTTTTGGTTATTATCTTGAATATTATTATAGATAGAGATAAACTGTAAAAAACGATAAATGTCGGCAAAGTAAGATCTACAAATAAGTCCATGACCGAAATTGTCAGTTGACCCCTTTAGGAGTTATTGCCCTTTATAGTCAATTTTAACCATTTTTTTCGTAAATCTTAGTAATCTTTTACAAAAATCTTCTCCTCTGAAACTACTGGGCCAAGTTAATTATAGATAGAGATAATTGTAAGCAGGAAAAATGTTCAGTAAATTAAGATGTACAAACACATCACCATCACCAAAACACAATTTTGTCATGAATCCATCTGCGTCCTTTGTTTAATATTCACATAGACCAAGGTGAGCGACACAGGCTCTTTAGAGCCTCTAGTTCTAGTTTCCAGACAATAACTTGTGTTCAAGTGTATGGGTCTCTCTGAAATTGTACTGCAAGGTACCATACCAGAAAGGGAAGGCTGGGATTGATTTTGGGGGTAATTGCCTCAAAATTTTAGGAATTAGGGGCCAAAAAGGGGCAAAAAATGCATTTTTCTAGTTTCATGACAATAACTTGTGTGTAAGTGTATGGATCTTTATGAAATTATACTACAAGGTTCCATGTCACAAAGGGAAAGCTGGGTTTGAGTTTGGGGGTAATTGCCTTAAACGTTTAGGAATTTGGGGCTAAAAAGGGGCCAAAAAACAAGCATTTTTCTAGTTTCCAGACAATAATTTGTGTTCAAGTGTATGGATCTCTCTGAAATTGTACTGCAAGGTACCATACCACAAAGGGAAGGCTGGGATTGAGTCTGGGGATGATGAATCATAAGGGGGTTCAAAAAATTGGGGGGGGGGGGGGGGGTTTCCTTTTTTTCCTTTTTTTTTCTTTAAAATTTTCCATTTTAAATTGGTTATTTCAGATTTATATATAAAAGCAAATAATGATATGGTTTGAATAGGTAAATTTAAAATTTTTAAGTTCTTAGACCACATTCATTCTGTGTCAGAAACCTATGCTGTGTCAAATATTTAATCACAATCCAAATTCAGTGCTGTATCAAGCTTGAATGTTGTGTCCATACTTGCCCCAACTGTTCAGGGTTCGACATCTGCGGTCGTATCAAGCTGCGCCCAGCGGAGCATTTTATTTAAGTCATATTCATTTAGAAAAGAATGAAAAATGTAATGGAACATGACCTTTTTGTAAAACTAGAATAGAAAGTTAGTAGCATTCATTCTATTATATAAAACATTAAGGAAAGCTTTGGAAGAAATTTTTAAGCATGTTTAATATCATTGCTGGGGAAAATGTAAATTGGTTAGATCTAATTATAATACAAAATTTATTATATTGATATATGTGACAAAAAAAGACTAAAAATAATTGAATGTTGTGTTAAACACCTTTAATTGAATCATTTGGAAAAATAGAACATAGTAAAGTACCAAGAGAAAATTGTTTCTGAAAAAACTCTGTTCAAATCCACTGAAATAAAGGTAAATAAATGTGGATAGTGTCCACATGTGGACACAGATGATGCCCCCGCTTGCATATCATATAGTTATAAAGGGACATAACTGAAGAACGGTAAAAGTGACGCTACCAAAATTTGAACTTGATCTGAGATTTGTGGTAATAAGCATTATGTGTAAGTCTCATAACATTTGGTTGAGGCTACATGTAACTTAAATAGAGAAAAGAAACTAAAAATTCAGCAATTTTTCTATTTGTAAACACGCATAACTCTAGAATGGTTGTGTATAAGTTTTATAACATTTGGTTGAGACAAACTAAAGTTAGAGAACGGAAACAAAAAATTTAGCAATTTTTATTTTTATAAAGGGACAAAACTCAAGAATGGTAAAAGTGTCTCCACCAAATTTCGTACTTAATCTGTATTATGTAGTAATAAGCATTGTGTATAAGTTTCATAACATTTGGTTGAGGTAAACTAAAGTTAGAAAACGGAAACAAAAAATTTGTACTTGATCTTAGTTTTGTGGTAATGAATATTGTGTATAGGTTTCATAATGTTTAGTTGGGGAAAACTTAAGTCACAGAATGGAAACTAAAAATTTTGCAATCTTTCGATTTATAAAGGGGCATAACTCAATAATGGTTAAAGTGACACTACCCATATTCAACTTGATCTGTGTTTTATCAGTGGAAGTCAAAATTAAACATTGCATTGTATAAAGCATTGATTGTAGTTGATTCAACTATAATCATGGACAAAGGAAGATAACTCCAATTTTAAAAATTACTTGATATTTAGAAGAAAATAAAAATTTTGCAATTTTTTCATTTATAAAGGGGCTTAACTCTAGAACGGTTAAAGTAACACCACCAAAATTCATACTTGATCTGTGTTTTGTGGTAATAAGCATTGTGTATAAGTTTCATAACATATGGTTGAGGCAAACTTAAGTTAGAGAACGGAAACTAAAAATTTTGGAATTTTTCCATTTATAAAGGGGCATAACTCTAGAACGGTTAAAGTGACGCCACAAAAATTCGAAATTGATCTGTGTTTTGTGGTAATAAGCATTGTATATAAGTTTCATAACATTTGGTTGAGGCAAACTTAAGTTAGAGAACGGAAACCAATTTTGGGACATACGTACGTACAGACGGACAATGTTGAAATGTAAACCATTATGTAATATATCATGAACCAATGACATACATATAATATTTAAATAATCACAATCATAATCTAATAATGAGAAGTTTTAATATGTAAAAGCTTTCTGACCAAATAAAAATTTATGTACAGCCATATATATATTAGCTGTGGAACTGTAGCTCATAGGTCCTTATGATATTTTTTGACAATTTGTGGACCGTAGAGCTACGGATTTTTACTTTTGTCAAAAAATATCATAAGGACCTATGAGCTATAGTTCTGCAGCTATATATAAATATACACTGTTTAGGTAAGGAAATCATTATTAAAAGTGAATTGACAAAAACGTTGCTACTTGTCCATGCTATTTTAATTTTTGTTCTAAACCTGTGGTTTGCAGGTTGTTATGTTGTTATATATGAGAAACAGGACCGTTATCTTATTGTATGCACAATTGTGGTTAAAGGAATAAAGTGATTGTAAAGATTGCATTTGAACAAAAACAAAATTATATATTTATAGGTCCAATATGATAAGTAAATTACTTCATAATGATTAAAAGAATCATTTAATTCAAATAAGTCAAGTTAATAACTGTTTCATTTCAGTTTCAGTAGTAGATATATGGAACATTATAGAAGCTTTCAGAGAGAATGGACTAAACACTTTAGAACCCGATTCAGAACTGAATTCCTCCCGAGTAGAGTCTGTGTTAAATAGTATATATGTCCACCTGAACAAACGATTACCGTTATCACAACAGGTCGACTCTAATCAATGTGTACAGATGTTATTAAACTGGCTGGTTGGAGCTTATGACAGGTATGATTACTGCGAGGTTTTTATTATTGCGAAAAATGCGACAGAGTTGTAAACGCAATAATTTAAACTTGCATTTTGAAATATTTTATATGAATTAAACAGGATTTTTCTCAAAATCGTAAAAATTTAAATGACATTTAAGTCTAAAATGACAAAATCGCAATAATAAATGCACGCAATAATTTCTGAATTGACAGTATTAGAAAGATGTCTTCTCATTTCTATGTATGTTGACGTCAGATATAGTAGAAAGGAATCACAGAGCCTTGAAAAGTACCTTAAATACTGTCTGTTGAAGTCAGGTTATTATTTGTGCAGTTACACAGAATAAGCTTTCTCTTATTAATAATCCATGACTATAGTTATATTGTTACAAAAAATTTAAGTTGGAAATGATTAGATTGTACAAAAAAAGTAAGAAGGTTACAAATTGGCAATAAAATATCATAAGTATAGAAAATTGACATGGAAAACAAAAAAAATAGGTAAACAGAGTGGATTTTTCAATAGAAAACAGAAATTTTAAGGGTAATAAACAGAAACAACATTTTCAGTATTGAGATATGTAATATTTACAAAATATCCATTGAAATCCATTAAAATACATTACACTCATATTTGTTTACAATACAATATAGTTATTGAACCAATTAAGGGTCATTATTACATTGGTAGCATTGAATTACATTGATTTCCCAGTCAAATAAAAACCGATAATTTCACATGTGAAATAAACGTGGTTATTTCACTCTCTGACGTCATACAACAATAGGCGTTGTCAAGACGTCGATAACGTCGGATCAAAACAAATTGTGAATGCATAGAAAAAAGATATAGTTCCTTACATTTTCTACATTAATTTCATTAAAAAAAGCCATTTGCCAATGTAATAAAAAGAATAACTAATCAAAGAATTCAAATATCGAAAAATATTCAACTCGTGACCGAACAACACTGATAATTAACTCATGCGCTACGCGCATTCGTGAATTAATGTGTTGTTCGGTCACTCGTTGAATATTTTTCTCTATTTGAATTCTTTGATTAGTTATTCTATAATTATAAAGCAGGATTACAAACGTATCATTAAATAGAGAGAGAGGGGAAACAACACAAGTAACATTTAGAATTGGTTGTCTCCCTTTTCACAGTATTATGTATATTATATACACCTGGCCACAGATAATTTTCAATATTGGGAGTAATATTAATTACACTATAAGAATTTGGGAAAGCAGACATCATGATTTGTGGTAGAGAAAGACTGAAAGGTTATAGCTTAACTAGTCAAAACTCCTTGGTTAATCATTGTTAATATGGAGAAAACATGAGAAGTATACATTTGGCCTGTATGTTGATAGATAAAGTATATGAATGAAATGAAAATGGAAAGAAGTAATGTTGGTCATTGTTGTCCTTGGTACTATAGGGACTTATCCTGGGTGGGTTTAATGTTAGGAAAAATACCCATTTTAAAAATAAAGTAATTAAGAGTACCCAGGTCAACCCCAGATCTTAAAAGCATACCCAGATTAAATATTGTGAAATTGTTTTCAGAGATTTTTTTATGAGATCTGATGATGCTACAGCTTTACATTTTAGTGCTTATAACTACAATGCTGCATGTTAAATTTCTATAGTGATTCTAAACAATGTATTGCTTATGCAAATGTAGCTCTTATGGTCCATAGATCCGCAAATTGTCAAAAAAAATCATAAGAAACAAAAGAGCTACAGTTCCGCAGCTAATGCAAACATAGACTAGCTTTTTAATTACTGTAGTTTAATTGTCTTGCCTGCTAGCAAAATCGCAGAATGCGAGACATAAGGATTACAATATGACGGCGGTGGTGTAAACTATTTGTATTAAGCTTTATATTTCAGAAGATAAAAGACCTCAAGTCTTCATATTTTGTATACAGATTCCTTATGATACAAAGTTTCTGTCATGGTTCAGAGACTGCTTGAAAAAAGTTGGGTTTTTTTCATGCAAATTTCTCACTTATAATGAGTAATAGGATAACTATATTTGGTATATAGTGGTTCCTTGCAAGGTCTATATGTCTGTCAGACAGAGCTAACCTGATCTTGACCTTATTTTATGGATCAGGGATCAAGGTTAAAGTTATGTGATTAGGTCCATTTTACTAAGATACAGTAAGCAGTTGGTCAATTATATTGGTGTGTGGAATGATTGTAAGGTGTACATATTCGACTGTCAGGTTTCATCGGACCTTGACCGTACTTTCACGGTTCATTGGTCAATGATCAGTTTTTATACGACCGCAAAAATTGAAAATTTTTTGGTCGTATATTGGTATGACGTTGGCGTCGTCGTCGTCGTCGTCGTCGTCGTCGTCCGGCGTCGTCGTCCGGCGTCGTCCGAAGACACATTGGTTTTCGCACTCTAACTTTAGTTTAAGTGAATGGATCTCCATGAAATTTTACCATAAGGTTCAATACCATGAAAGGAAGGTTGGGATTGATTTTGGGGGTTATGGTACCAACAGTTAAGGAATTAGGGGCCAAAAAGGGGCCAACAATAAGCATTTTTGTAACTTCCAGACAATAACTTGTGTGTAAGTGTATGGATCTCTCTGACATTGTACAACAAGGTTCCATATCACAAAGGGAAGGCTGTAATTGATTTTGGGGGTAATTGCCTCAAAATGTTAGGAATTAGGGGCCAAAAAAGGGGCAAAAAACAAGCATTTTTCTAGTTTCATGACAATAACTTGTGTGTAAGTGTTTGGATATTTCTGAAATTGTACTACAAGGTTCCATATCACAAAGGGAAAGCTGGAATTGAGTTTGGGGGTAATTGCCGGAAACGTTTAGGAATTGGGGGGCCAAAAAGGGGCCAAAAATAAGCATTTTTCTAGTTTCCAGACAATAACTTGTGTTCAAGTGTATGGATCTCTCTGAAATTGTACTGCAAGGTACCATACCACAAAGGGAAGGCTGAGATTGAGTTTGGGGGTGATGAATCATAAGGGGGTTCAAAAAATTTTGGGGGGGGATTTTTTTTTTTCTTTTTTTTTTCTTTTTTTCCTTTTTTTTTTCTTTTAAAATTTTCCATTTTAAGTTGGTTATTTCTGATTTATATTTAAAAGCAAATAATAATGATATGGTAGGAGATACACACCAAACAGGATGTGTAAATTATTATATAATAAGTATTGTGCAATAGCAAGAAATTTTCAATTGCACAGTATTGCACAATAGCAAGAAATCTTCAATTGCACAGTATTGCGCAATAGCAAGAAATCTTCAATTGCACAGTATTGCGCAATAGCAAGAAATATCCAATAGCACAATATTGCGCAATAGCAAGAAATTGTCAATTGTACAGTATTGCGCAATAGCAAGAAATAATCAATTGCACAGTATTGTGCAAAAGAAGATACTTCGTATAAATTGCTTATTTCTTGATCAATTTCAATGGGGTTTTATTCTTGAATTCTTGGGGTTCTTTAATACGCTGAATCTAACCGTGTATTAAGTTTTTGGATTTTGGGCCCCGTTTTTAAATTGGTCCACATTGAGGTCCAAAGGGTCCAAAATTTTACTTTGTTTGATTTCATCAAAAATTGAATTATTGGGGTTCTTTGATATGCCGAAGCTAACCGTGTATTTAGATTCTTAATTTTTGGTTCTGTTTTCAAATTGGTCTACATAAAGGTCCAAAGGGTCCAAAATTAAACTTAGTTTGATTTCAACAAAAATTGAATATATGGGGTTCTTTGATATGCTGAATCTAACCATGTATTTAGATTTTTGATTATGGGCCCAGTTTTCGAGTTGGTCCAAATCGGGGTCCAAAATTAAACTTTGTTTGATTTCAACAAAAATTGAATATATGGGGTTCTTTGATATGCTGAATCTAACCATGTATTTAGATTTTTGATTATGGGCCCAGTTTTCAAGTTGGTCCAAATCGGGGTCCAAAATTAAACTTTGTTTGATTTCAACAAAAATTGAATATATGGGGTTCTTTGATATGCTGAATCTAACCATGTATTTAGATTTTTGATTGTTGGGCCCCGTTATCAACTTTGTCCACATTGAGATCAAAAGGGTCCAAAATTAAACTTTGTTTGATTTCATCAAAAATTGAATATATGGGGTTCTTTGATATGCTGAATCTAACCATGTATTTAGATTTTTGATTATGGGCCCAGTTTTCAAGTTGGTCCAAATCGGGGTCCAAAATTAAACTTTGTTTGATTTCAACAAAAATTGAATATATGGGGTTCTTTGATATGCTGAATCTAACCATGTATTTAGATTTTTGATTATGGGCCCAGTTTTCAAGTTGGTCCAAATCGGGGTCCAAAATTAAACTTTGTTTGATTTCAACAAAAATTGAATATATGGGGTTCTGTAATATGCTGAATCTAACCGTGTATTAAGTTTTTGGATTTTGGGCCCCGTTTTTAAATTGGTCCACATTGAAGTCCAAAGGGTCCAAAATTTAACTTTGTTTGATTTCATCAAAAATTGAATTATTGGGGTTCTTTGATATGCCGAATCTAACCGTGTATTTAGATTCTTAATTTTTGGTTCCGTTTTCAAATTGGTCTACATAAAGGTCCAAAGGGTCCAAAATTAAACTTAGTTTGATTTTAACAAAAATTGAATTTTTAGGGTTCTTTGATATGCTGAATCTAAACATGTATTTAGATTTTTGATTATGGGCCCAGTTTTCAAGTTGGTCCAAATCGGGGTCCAAAATTAAACTTTGTTTGATTTCAACAAAAATTGAATATATGGGGTTCTTTGATATGCTGAATCTAACCATGTATTTAGATTTTTGATTTTTGGGCCCTGTTATCATTTTTGTCCACATTGAGTTCAAAAGGGTCCAAAATTAAACTTTGTTTGATTTCATCAAAAATTGAATTCTTGGGGTTCTTTGATATGCTGAATCTAACCATGTATTTAGATTTTGGATATTGGACCATAATAGGTGAATGTCCAATTTAAAATTTTTAAGTTCTTAGACCACATTCATTCTGTGTCAGAAACCTATGCTGTGTCAAATATTTAATCACAATCCAAATTCAGAGCTGTATCAAGCTTGAATGTTGTGTCCATACTTGCCCCAACTGTTCAGGGTTCGACCTCTGCGGTCGTATCAAGCTGCGCCCTGCGGAGCATTTTATTGTGTTTTGGTATGTTTTTCTAATACTATAAGCAATAGATCAACTATATTTAGTGTATGGTAATGATTGTAAGGTGTACATGTCAGTCTGGCAGGTTTCATCTGACCTTGACCTTATTTTTAATGGTTCATTGGTAAATGGTGAGTTTTAGGATTTTGGTCTTATACTATAATCAATTGGTTAACTATATTTGGTGATTGGAATGACCTCATTTTCTTGGATGTGCTGTCAAGTTTATATGATACTTGTAGTGAAACTTTATATTTAGGACTATCAACATAAAATTAATCATGGTTAGTAAAGCAGGCAAGACATGTCAGCGTTTGCACTCTTGTGAAACTTTTGTTTAGGGTTTTTAAAGGCTTGAATTTCTCTAATAGCTTGTATATATAAAAATAAGAAGATGTGGTATAATTGCCAAGGAGACAACTCTCCACAAGAGACCTAATGACACAGAAATTAACAACTATAGGTCACCGTACAGCCTTCAAAAATGAGCAAAACCCATACCGCATAGTCAGCTAAAAAAGGCCCCGAAATGACAAATGTAAAACAATTCAAACGAAAAAACTAACCGCCTGATTTATGTACAAAATAATGAACGAAAAACAATAATGATACACAGAAACAAACGACAACCACTAAATTACAGGCTCCTCTCTTGGGACAGGCACATACAGAATGTGGCGGGGTTAAACATGTTAGAGGGCGCCCAACCCTCCCCCTAACTTGGGACAGTGGTGTAACAGTACAACATAAGAACAAAATGTGAATATTTGTTGTATATAATGTGGGTATTTATAACTGTATTTGTATGTCTTATATGTTTCTTGTTGGTTACAAGAGCTTATGTTTGTATGTTTGAATGTACCGACTCTAAATAAAGCTTAATATCCAAAATCATTTCCGGCATATGTTAGACAGTGACCTAGTCTTACTGCCATTTATGAATTATCATCAAATGGTAGAAATTATAAAATGATAAACTGCTTAAAGGTGATGGTACAGCATGTTCATATTGATGGCTGATCAAATTTGAATGAAACATAATTTGTTTCTTCTAGATAATAGAATAGTAAGAGGATTTGAATTGTGAATTTATTTGAGTTGTCTCTAGAATTCATTATTAAAAAAATTTTATTCTGCCTAAACCATGGTTTAATGAAATGTAGAGATACTTGATGTACTGTACACTATATGAAGTATGTGTTCTTCATATTCTATTTATAAGATAAATTGAATTTTGTCAAATACATGCCATCACAAATAAAACCTGATGACTCATTAAATTTAAAACAAACAAACTTAGGATCATCCAGCCTACCCTTTTTACAGATCAGTTCTTTACTATTCTGTCCGTCTTTTGATATTACTAATATTTTACTTAAGACATAGTCTGCTACAATGATGTTACCATAAGTATCTGTACATAGTCCAAATGGTCCTGATAAATCCTGTGTATATTGCCAGATCTGTTTACCTGATCCATCATAACAGTATACTGCTTCACCACCATAGTCACTATAGATTACTCTGTCATTACAGTAAACAAGGTTAAACAGGTATGATTCACTCTCAACTTGTATTGACTTCAGTGTATTTCCTTCAAAGTCTACAATACAGATTTCTCCATCATCATTATTCTCATTCAAACCTACAGCAAGAGAATTATTGGAGAATGATAAACCATAGCATCCTTTGTCTAATGTGATAACTTTGGTAACTGTTTCATTCTCCATATTGAATATCTTAATGGCTTTCTCCTCAGGATAAGTTATGGCTATAGTGTCCTGATTGATCTGTGTAACACAGTAGGCTCCATCAGGTATAGGTAACTGTTTCTGTAGTTTGCCATCAGAAGTAAGTAGGTTAAGTTTACCCCACTGGTCCACTACTATAACTCTTCCATCCATCAGACAAATCATGTCACTTATATCCTTCTTTATGTTGATCTTTATCTTTGTCTCAATATTCATTATCATGTTGTTTATATTGGATTGTTCACGTGATTCTACTTGTGCCTTCCCCTTCACACTCGTTTCTCTGTTAAAGCCTGTTTCTGTTTTAACAACTGTTACTTCTCCCAGGAATTCTAGTGATCCTAACTTCTTTAGTATGTTTTCTAATTCATCATTTTGCTTCATTTTGATTTCAAATTCTTTAGCCCTGTCATCGTAATCCAGATCATCAACATATTTTTGACATTGATGTACTTGTTGTTCCATCTGATGTACTCTTAGAAATAATAGGAGTTTTGAATCATGTGTTGTGACTGCATGCAAATGTTCTTTCATTTCCTTCAAATTTTTCTTCTTCCCTTCAACTTCAGAAATGAAATCTCTAGCTGTTGATATCTCCTTATCCCAGAGGTTGTCTGTTTCTTTGTATAATTTCTCCTCCAAGCAGTCCAAATATTTATTTATTTGATTCCGTATTTTAACAATTGATTCCTTTATGTCTTCACATTGTTGTTCTCCAGTTTTGATGTTTGTTGATTTATTATTTACCATTTTATTCAAGAGATGTAAGATGGAGTTGATATCTTTCTCTACAGATTCTTTAGATTTGTCAATCTCTGTTTTATCCACTACACCTGCTAAACTTTTTATTCCAGTACATTTAGAATGACTAGTGGAAATACATTCATCACAACAAGGCATCAAATGACTGGGACAGTACAAGTTTAGCTGTTGACCATGTTTGTCACATTTGGTTTTGATAGCTTTGATTGAGGGTTTATAACTTTTGATATCAATAGTTTTATGATCACGTATTGCTTTGAATCTTTTATGATGACCAGAACATATTGAACATAATCCTTCTTCACAGTTGTAACACCAGATGTCAGCTTTAGTGTTTACTTTTCCTTCTTGACAAGGTCCACATGGTATAGGCTTACTGGATGCCATGACCTACATATATATAAAATGTAAGTTATTTAGCCTTATAGTCAGGGTCCACATGGTACCAGATTTATTCACTACCTGATGCAATTGGCTCTTGCATGTGGTTTTGTGGTCAGGTTTCGTATGTCAAAGGTTTAATTGATGCAGTAACTTAATAATATCTAAATTTATGTGTAAAAATTAAACTGACATGAAAGCACATGATTTTTTTTTATCTCACTCCCCAAGAACGATGTAGAAGTCACAGCTGCTAGGTATAATGGGATGCTGATTCAGCAATGGTGTAAACTATTTTTGTGAGGATTTATATTTCATAAGGTTGAAAAGCTGGATAATTAATATCTTGTATAAGATCTGACATTACAGTCTAGAATAAGTCTATAAGACTCCTTGGCCTTATTCTAATGGTTCACTGACTGTTTGAAAGAAACAGTATAATTAATAATACCCATCTGTTCCTCTGCTGTATGTCTGTTGTTGTGCCTTGTAAGGCCACTCTTTCTACAACTCTTCCTAACATGCAGAATGGATATTAATTAAACTTACACAGACATAGCAAACTGCCTGTGGAGGAGTATAAAGGGATATAATCCCAGTCAAATGATATATCTATCTTGCAGGGTTCACATGCCTTTGACCTCATTTTGAAGTTTCATTAGTCAAAATTAAGTCTCCCTGATTAGAAAAACAAAGGATATGGGGTATCCATCCATGACACAAAATCAGTACATGCACAGTAAAAAAATACACAAAAAGTAAAGGAACAGCGCTGTTATTGCTGTTCTTCATCTCAAAGTCACAGTGAGGCCTTCATCACTGAGCAAAAAAACTCTCACCTGGTCTGTTTATGAGAGACTATATAAACACCTCAGTGGTCTGGCCTTAATGTGCCCTTCGTGAGTACTTGAGTTTGTGAATTTGATCCTCTCCTGGGTTAAACCAAAGACTTGAAAATTAGTATTAGCTACTTTTAATTATGTTAAGGGTAAGTAGCCAAGACCGGTCTGCTTAAGAGTCAAAATAATGTGTTCAAATAGGGGGACATGTCTTCCTCTTGAATTTGCATGTTAAAATCAAGCTCAGCCTCATTGTTTTTGTAGCATCCTCCTTGAATACAGGATCATGTGGGTATGATCATCCATGAGTAAAACCAAAGACTTGAAAATAAGTATTTGTGGCTTCTCTGCTAATCATATTGTATTTAGGATTAACAACAAAAACTGGTCTCAGAGTCGGAATAATGTATTGGAATAGGACAATATATTGACATGTATTACTGTAGACTGTTACCTTGTGAAGTAGCATGATTAAAGTCAGGTTCAGTGTGTTGGTCTAATAAAAAGTAGGGTTCATATTTATATCACTTTTAAGGTGTTTTTAATTATTTGTCATTGGACATAAAAAAAAAAAACTAATACATCCATCCTCGGATACTATAAACAATAGATTAATGTTATTAAATGTATAGAATGATTATAAGGTGTCCATATATGTTTTCAGTGTTCATCTGACCTCATAACAAGATAATGGTTCATTTGATCAAGTTGATTCATTGTTCATTGTAAAAGGTTTTCCTTATTAGGTCTGTTTCTCAGATACTATGAGCAAAAGTTCAACTTTATTAAATGTTTAGAATGATTATAAGATGTCCATGTCTGTTTTCAGGGTTCATCTCTTTTACAATGAGTAATGTCTCAATAAGAATAATGATATCTGGTATGATTGCCAATGAGAGTATTCATTTGGTAAATATAATCATTTATAGGTGTACTTGTCTATCTAACCTTTGCATGGTTTTCATGTTTCAGTAATTTTTATGTTCTTTAAAGTTTTCAAGCTTAGATCAAAATAGAAATAAGGAGATGTATTATGATTGCCAATTAGACCCCTCATTTTTGAGGAATTTTGTTTGGAAATGTTGACCAGGTAATGTTTGGAACAGATAAAAAAAACCAATGAAAACATTCAAGTAAAATAAATATTTTTGCCATATTTCCCCAATTTAAATTTTAGTTTATTTTGTCCCTATTTGTTCTATTATTTATAGTATATAACTTTCTGAGGTTTCACACAATAACGTTATATAAATGATACGTATTTTTAATGGCATAAAAGTGATATAGGCTTTCAATACATTGTCAAAAGTAGAAGATAAAGTATTTTTCAACTAAATACCTTTTGATTTAGCTTACAGTCACTTCATCCGAGTATTTTTGTCTTCCATTTTACAATATGTTGGTCTACTAGGAAGTTAATGTTTATACCTGACCAAGATAATCAGTTAACATTTAAATTACACCACCAGGTATCATAAGTAAACATTTAAATGATATAGATAATAAAAGAGAATATAATACATTGATTATGTTAAAAATGAATGAACTCTTTTTTTCTTGTTCCAGAAAATTTTATCAAATTTGAACTATTTGCAGTAAATGTTGAATATTTCTGTAATTGAATTTTAGTAAACTATTTGTATAAAGCTTTATATGTCAGAAGGTAGAAGACCTTGATGCTTCATACCTTGTATGCAGATACCTTATGTTACGAAGTTTCATTCTGTCATATGCCCATTGTCCTTGACCTCATTTTCATGGTTCAGTGACTGCTTGAAAAAAAAAATTACATTGTTTTGGAAAAGTGAAATACTCCCTTATTTGAGTAAGAGGAATACTATATTTGGTGTATGGGTTCCTTGCAAGGTCTACATGTCCGTCAGGTAGGGTTCACCTGACCTCATCCTCATACCATGGATCAGTGATCAAAGTTAAAAGTTATATGGTCAAGTCTGTATCTCAGATACTGTAAGCAGTAGGTCAACTATATTTGGTGTATGGAATGATTGTAAGGTGTACATGTCCGACTGGCGGGTTTCATCTGACCTTGACCTTAATTTCATGGTTCATTGGACACTGTTAAGATTTTGTGGTTTGGTCTATTTCTCAGATACTATAAGCAATAAGACCACATTATTTAGTATATGGAATTATTATAAGGTGTACATGTCTGACTTGCAGGTTTCATCTTACCTTGACCTCATTTTCATGGTTCATTGGACACTAGTTTTTGTGGTTTGGTCTATTTCTCAGATATTATAAATTATAAGCAATAGGTCAATTGTATTTGGTGTATGGAATGATTGTAAGGTGTACATATATGTCTGGCAGGGTTCATATGACCTTGACCTCATTTTCATGTTAAAAAAAGCAGATGTGGTGATATTGTTCATTATTCAATGATAAGTTTTCATAATTTTGTTAACTTATCAGATACTATAAGCAATAGGTCAATTTTATTTGTTGTATGGAATGATTGTAAGGGTTCATATGACCTTGACCTTATTTTTATGGTTCATTGGTCATTGTTAAGATTTTGTGGTTTATTTTGTTTCTCAGGTACTGATAGGATCACTATATTTGGTGTATGGAATGATTGTAAGGTGCACATGTCTGTCTCGCATGGTTCATCTTACTATGGCCTCATTTTCATAGAAAATTGATATTGTTAAGTTTATTTGATACTTGTAGTAAAACCTTCATATTACAGACTTTCAACATGAATTCAATGATAAGTAAAACAGGCGACATTTCAGCTTGTGCACTCTTGTTAATTAAATTTTGTAGAAATAAAGATCATTCTATTATGAAGACCAATTAACCTTATTCTCATTATATCCCTAGACCTCCTTTAGACAAAAACACATGCATCCAGATAATTTCCCTTTTTTGTAAAGTAAATAAAGAAAAACACCTATATGTACATGGGTGAAATATTCAGCTCTTTCCTATATATCATTGTAATAGGACATTGCAGACATTGTAGAGTAGTATATTATATTAGATAGGAAATGAACAATGAAATACCCTGTTCTGATTTTCAACCAGGTTTTCAGATTGAAATAAAGTTTTTGATTTGAGGTCATACTGGGTGCAGACAGGTTAGCGGCTTCAGCTGTTTTCATCCATTAATTTATTAACCATACAAACAATGCTATTTTTTTCCCAGTTTTATATGTGCATCATATGGTCAGCAAAATTCAACTTTCAAGCTGAGCGTTGCCATGGTTTAGATAAATAAAAGGTTTAAATGGTAAAGAATTACATATATTCCATTAGTGTTAGTATATCTGGTTTGAGGACAAGTTCAATCAAATATCATAAAAAGTTTTAACTAAAATGGTCTTCAAAAGACTACTGTAGAGAGGAAGGTTTTGAGGTGATGAATCAAAACACTTATGTGGCTGGCTTGCTATGAATATCAATTTAATAATATAATTTTCCAGACTTTATCACTTCTTTTGAGATAAACAAGACATACATGACATAGTGCATTGAACACAACATACTTCACATATTATCCATGAATATTTCAAGAAATCTATCAATGAAATATATACTCAGATGTTCAAGTTACAAGATGATGTGTATGTGTATAACCTTACCATGTCGAGAAAATTACTTGAATTGTGTATAGTGCATGAATTTATTTTTTTTTTAATTACAACTGCAAAATGAATAATCTTTATTTACCCTGCAGTGCTCACAAGCACTTTGATTCTTTCAATGGAAGCTTTTCAGGGATAAAGCAAATACTCGTGGACTGCCATCTGCCCAGGACACATAAAGTGTATGTCCAGCATCCTATCTACCTAAAATTAGGTGGAAAAAAATGTCCATAAGTTGTCAAGGGGTACACTTCTTTTTTGTCATTATTATCCACACTCACTGTCACCTCCTTACCAACATACCCTACTGCTACTTCTCTGTTGTAGAAGCAATTTATAGTTCATTTGCATATTTTTGCAAAATAATAAAAGTATTTGGCATGATGACTTTGCATAGTAAGGATTGAGATCATTGGGATATTGAGAAAAAGAAGAAGTCTTATGATATTGGGGCCATTAGATTAAAGGTCAAGGTCACTGTTACTAAAACAAGGAAAATTTTGGGGAAATGGTTTCCAGATGGTAACTTGAGCTGGGTTTCACTTGTATGATTGGAATGAAACTTATACAGATGGATGATAAGGGAAAGGGGGGAAAAGCTTTTGAATTTGAGATCAATAGGTCTAAGTTCAAGGTCACTGTTACCAAATATAGGAGAATTTGGGTAAAAAGGGTTTCCAACTGGTAACTTGAGTTTCCACTGTTTAATTTGAATGAAACTTATACAGATGGCAGATATAGCAAAGTGGAAGATTGCTATTGATTTTCAGGTCAATAGGTCAAGATCAAGGTCATATTTACAAACTTTTTTTTTTTTGCAAGTTGGTTTTGGGATAGTATCCTGCTTAACACTCTTATACAGGTGAAAAATTAGCAATTATGGTTCATGTTTTTTTCAACCAAGCATACTTGTATTTTGAACCCTTGAAAAAAGAAATGTTTTAAATGTGCAGTTAAGGGAGCATGCTTCATATTTTAATAAAAAATAAGAAGATACCAAGGGGGTAACAGAACACAATATAAAAATATGTAGATGTGGTATGGATGCCAATGAGACAACTATCCACCAAAGCTCAAATGGAGTGGATGTAAGCTATTATAGGCAACCGTACGACCTTCAACAATGAGAAAACCCATACTGTATAGTCAGCTATAAAAGGCCGAATAAGAATGTGGCTGGGTTAAACATGCTCAACCCTCCCCTCACCCAGGACAAGGGTGTTACAGCACAACATAAAAACAAACTATAAAAATCAGTTGAAAAGGGCTAAACTCGTCAGATTGATAGAAAGCAAAAAACTTCTAATGAAAACACAGACCAGACTTGACAGGGTATTTATACATCCCTTACAAAAAAAGAAATAAAGTACAGGGTACTTGCAGTTACTGACAGCTAGTTCAAAGCCAATTACAACTAATAAAAAAAATCATTTATCTAAAACTAAAATATCAATCAGTACACATCCACATCCAATAATGGATTTAGTGTAATGACGTCAATAACAGTCAGAGAAAAACATGACCTCGTGCAATGCCAAAATATAGGTATCCACAGATTGTAATATCGTGAAAGTGTGTGTAACAATAATATTTAGTATGGTTTTATTTTACTGATAACAAAATCAATATTCATTTCAATAAAAACAATATTCAAAGATCTAATTACAGCGTTGAATTTGTAACCTTTTAAAAAAGATTGATATGTTTACCCTGATTGTTTCTGGGCTCGGTGAACAACATCACCATAAAATCTAGCATGTGCTATTCCATTTGAAATAAGTTTTCTACAGCAGAAGCCAAACTTGCAAACCAAATCTTGTATCTATGGCAGAATTTAGTACAGGTTTTAAGTAATTTGTGGTATTGAAATCCCTGACCATAATTTACCAGTAATACATAGATTTCACTCATTGAAATTCAAATAATCACTACAGACACGTGCATAATGAAAGAGTTGAGATATATAAACACCGTAAGACGGTGCCAAAGGAATGTCACTGTTCAAAAGAGGAAAAATAACAACAGAGAAAGTAAAATCATCTCTTTTGTCATAAATATTTCTGTACAGTTTCTGGTGTAAAACTGAAATATCTAAATCTAGTAAAGGGCAGGTAACCCTTGCTGAAAATATTTGATTTAAGACTACATTTACAAGTTGAAGAAAGAAACACAACACAACTGCCAAAAAAAGAAAAGAAACAACAGTTTTTTTACCTTATTACAGCCATATACTTTTTAAAGATAGTATACAGTTTTCTCCACCAGACCTTCAACAGTTTCAAGAAATATGTTCCTTTGGTACTGCAAATCTTTCAGCTGGTAAACATTATAAATATATCATGCTTTATCATGTAGTAAAAGAAAAGGAGCAACATTATTCTGTCAACTCTGTGTTAACTGGGACAAATCAAACTATTAAACAATTTCCATTCTCAAATTTATTTTTAGCTCACCTGGCCCAAAGGGCCATGTGAGCTTTTCTCATCACTTGGCGTCAGTCGTCTTTGTCGTTAAATTTTTACATTTTGAACTTCTTCTAGAGAACCACTGAATGGAATGAAACCAAACATGGCATGAATATTCCTTATGAGGTGCTGACCAAGTGTTGTTACTTTGTAGCTGATCCATCATCCAAGATGGCCATCAGCGGGAGACTTTGTTTAACATAGGACCCTATGGACAATAAATACAAATGTCTTCTTTTAGAGAACCACTGAATGGAATGACACCAAACATGGCATGAATGTTCCTTATGAGGTGCTGACCAAGTGTTGTTACTTTGTAGCTGATCCATTATCCAAAATGGCCGCCAGCAGGG